GGTCGAGTCGTAGTGGCCATTGACGAGTACCGCCTTCTTGCGGGCGGCGGCGGGGGCGGCGGGGGCCACCCGCAGTACGACGTTGGTGAGGTTGCGGTACACGTTGGCGATCTGGAACTTGAAGGCGTGCATGGTGACGCCGCCGGACACCTGGGCAGGCAGGAGAGGCAACAAGGTAAAGGTGGGAGGAGGAGGAGGAGGAGGAGGAGGAGGAGGAGGAGGAGGAGGAGGAGGAGCGGGCAGAGGAGGCGCAGGGCGGGATTGCTGGCAAGAGGGAGCACCCCTTCTCGTTTGGCAGCGCAGCGTTCAGCGCAGAGCCCAGGGGACCACACATGCAGCAGGCAGGCAGGCAGGCGGGCGGGCGCCGCGGGCACCCGCGGGCCGGCCAGCGCACCGACTCCCGGGCCGCCTCCACCACAAGGTCTGGCCGCCGCTCCGCCGCTTCTGCCGCGATCTTCTGCACCTCCGCCAAGATGTACTGCGCAGCCTGCTCCTCACCCACCGACCCCACCTGCAAGGCGCAGCGCCCGGATCGGGCAGCAGGAGGGCGGGGTGACGCTCCACACATCCACGCTGTGCCTGGCACGCGTGGGCGGGGAGCATAGCGATGCAGGCGGGGCCAGGCGGAGCGTGCTGGTTGGCATGGCTGCCCCCGCCAGGGCCCCTGGACCCTCCCTGCTCACCGACCCTCCCTCACCTGACGGTGCCCGATCACGGTGGCCAGCTGGTGCAGGTGCTGCATCACCCGCCCCTCGGCAAACCGCGCCGGGTCCGCGGTGGCGGGCAGCGGGTCGGGGACCTCGCAGAAGAAGTGGTTGGTGGTGGCATACTGCGGCAGGCGAGAAGGGGTGAAGCATGGGGCCCAGGGACGTGCAGGAGACAAGTAGTGGCGGAAGCAGAACCCTCTCGCCATGGGCGGGCAGGCGGCGCGGCCCGACCCAAGCGCTCGATAGCGGGCGAGGTTGCCAGCGACTCACCAGCGCGGCAAACACCAGGGCCGCCACCGTTAGCAGCCTCCAGTCCGTGCCAGGCGCCTTTAAGCCATTGCGTTGCCGGCCGCTCATCGGCCTCACGATGGTGGCTGCTGATCGACTGTGCGAAATCTGAAGACTCCCGATCTTGCCGGGCGCGGCGCTGATGGCCCTAGAACCAGTGCGTCCTGCCAGCGATCAATCGGAGTTGTCGACAACCCTGAAACACACAAGCTTGCAAGCTGCCACGTCTCGAGCGGACCCGGAACCAGAAGAAGAAACGCGTGGCCATTCAATTA